AAGTTCAAATTGTTTATATTTGAAGATAGCTCTTCATTAAGATGAGCGTACTAGCATCCAATCAACCTTGTGCCTGCAAAACACAATGGTTTTACATAGTGCATTTTGTAATTAATATAGGAAATTATTTCATTAAACTAAGCTATAGTAAAACGCTAAAAGCAGAGATAAATTTAGTCCTTTCAGAAGAAAACTAGCGAGCACAGTGGTCATGTCTCTGGGCATCATTCGAAGATCTGGAATAGTATCCCACATTAGTTAAGGTTAGGGGGTTTTTATGGGATGAAAGAGAGTTGCTCATTGTCAAGCACATAGGTCAATTAAAGTCAGGTTGCTAAGTTCTAATTAAACCTAAGTATATAAAATCCCCAAGAAACCCAACAAATGAGTCAAGGTTGAGTCAACACCACTCAAATTTCAACGGAAAACCCTTCAAACTCCCTCACCTCTCTAAATAGATTTCTTTATTATTTTAACATGTAACTCATGTGATGATTGACTAGAAACAGAGTAACTTCATACGTAGCTCAGCACAAAATTAGAAAGGCAAAGCAGAAAAAAGTCATAGAGAAGGGGAAGTGATTTTAATGTACCTGAATTTTCCTTGGTGGTAATCATCCTATTTTTCAAGTCTTGAGCAGCCTCATTCATGCCTCGTTCATTGTAGGCTTGGATCATGGTAGCAAATGTGATATGATCAGGCACACATTTTTTCTCTTTCATTGCTAAAAACAGTTCACTCACCTTTCTTAGGTCACCAGCCCGACAATAAGCACTAATAATACAGTTGAAAAAGGTGTATCTAACATGACATCCGAATTCTCTACTTGCCTCAAAATGGAATCAACTTTACTTATACTCCCAGCTTTGCTATACGCACTACCAAGAGAACAATAGGTGATAGAGTTGGGCTTCATTCCTTGATGCTTCATTCTTCGGAAGTATTCGTCCATCTTCTCAATATTTCCAGCTTTACCGAATACCTCAATTACAATATTATAAGTAACAATAGTTGGGGTGAAAAACCTTTTCTCCATAAATTCCATAACAGATCTCATCTTTTCGTACATTCTTGCCTTCCCGTATGATTTAATCAGGATATTGAATGTCTTAGGGTCTGGCCTTATTCCCATCAGCTGAAATTCATCATACCACTTCTCCATCTTCTCTGTCTGCCCACAATTCCCATAAGCACTGAGAAAAGAATTGAAAGTGAAAACATCAGGAAGGCAGCTGCCACTTTCAATCATATTTGTCAACGTTTCCTCCATCAGTTCAAACATTTCAGCCTTACCATATCCATCAATTAGGGTATTGTATATGACTGTGTTGCATCCAATCCCCAGGTACGACATCTCAGCAAGAACTCGTTCAATCAGGTCAGGACGATTGAACTTGGTGCAGGAATTAATAAGAATAGAATATGTATATACGTCTGGTTTGCAGTCAGAAACTGACTTCATATCATCGACGGTAGAGAATGCCTTGTCAAGGAGGCCACTTTTGCCATAAACACTAACAAGAGCTGTGTAGACATCAACAGTAGGTTTGAGCCCATCACTCAACATGAGCTCAAAAAGCAAGCTGGCCTGCTCAGGTTGCCTGCACTTGCCAAGCATCATCAGCAGCTTGGTGTACGTTTGGCATCTCGGCTCATACCAGTGCTGCTTACGAAGTAGACCAAAAATCTAAAGAAATGAACCATTGGTTTTGGATTAAAAACAACTCAAAAGTTGAACAAAAGGGAGAAACGAAGACTCAAAGTAATCCAGTGTATTTAAGATTGCAAACCAAGATGCTATAACTAGAACTGAAAATTCTTGTGCAGAAGTATTTGGTTTTAGATGTCCAGAGGAGTTTAGAATCAAACCGTTTGCTCATATAACTAATGAAAATGAACAAAATTGCAGCTATAAGCTTACTTCTCATCAAGTTTCACTTATTTACTAACAGAATTGAGAAAACAGAACATCTAACAGACCCAGAAGCCTCAATTGACAAAACAATAAATTCCCACAAAACCAAAGATCACTACTTTCTTCTGAGGCAACAATTAATCCTATCCCCACTGAACTAAAGCTGTCAGCTTTCCATTTCATAATTAAAGTTCAATAGTTTCAAACTTACAATATCATTATTTTTAGAACAAAACAAACAACCCAAAATCCAAAATTCTCAGGAAAAAAAAAAAACCAATTCCGAAATTCTTAGAAACAAAAAACCCACTTCCGAAATTCTCAGAAACCAAAAAAAAAAAAAGAAAAAAACAGGAGAGAAAGTTCCAACAGACCTTGAGAGCAGTTTCCCAGAGATTGGCTGCAATAGCCTCGTCCAGAGCCTCCAAAACGGCTTTGGGCCAAAGGTTGTTGTACTTCTTGGAGTTGGCTTTCCTCTCAATGTTTCTCACGGCGGCGTCCGTTCGGAGGAGTTGAGACAGATTCTTCTGCTCCTTCGTCAGAGACGGGTCGGAGCTCCGTTTCGATAAACGGAGGCAGCGGATTGTTGGGTTTGGTTTGTGGGTGTGTTCAGAGTAGAACGTCGTCCAATATGTGGCGCCGGTTAAGGAGGTTGAGGTCGAGACGCGCAGGTTAGTGGGATAAAGGAGTTGACGCTCCATTGCGCCGGGGCCAGTGATTGTCTCTTGACTGTTACGCGGGTAATGGGAGTGACGCTGGGTGGTCGGGGTTTTAAAGAAGAAGATCAGAAGTATCAGAGTATGCCTAGGATAGGATGCGCTGGCAGGGGGAATTTGGAAAAGTAACCCTCTAGGATTATAGCCACTATTTAAAGATTATGGTACTGAATATATTGTACTGAATTAGTGACATATAAGAAAATATGTAAAAATATAATGACCCGTTTGTTTGACCGGATTAGGGGGGACTGGATTGGACTAGATTGTAGTCCCTTGTTTGTTCTGCACCAGGATTAGGTTTAATAGTATTAAATGGGACTCGCTCGGATTAATGGGTTCGCTAGGAGTTCTTAGCCGAGAACCCCAAATTCGGCCGGACTCGCAAGACCTTCCGCGAGAGAAAACCTCGCTCATCCTGCGAGAGAGAGAGTTGTCGCCATCGCTCCCTGCTTGCCTTGCTCCCTCATCCTCGTCCTCTTCACCCTCATCTCTGCGTCTTGCTTGCCTTCATCTACATCTTGCTCGCCCTTATCTGCTCCTCTTGCCTGGTAAACTTCGAATCTTCGATTTATTTCTTCAATTTGTTTTGCAGATCGTGATATTACTAAGCTTTATTTGATTTAATTGTTTTGGGTTTGAGAAATTTTCAATAATATACCTCTGTAGTTAAACAAATTAGAGTTTTGATTTTTAGGGTCAAATTGCAGATCCTGCTCGCCCTGCTCCTCCACCTTCTTCTCAGGCGACCTCTCAGGAACACTCCAACCAAATCGCCCCTCCTCCTCCCATGTTCGATCCCAGTCAAAGTAACCCTCTTTCTCTCTGTCTCTCACTCTTACTCTGGTTCTTTTGAATTTGCAGTAATGTGTGTGTGTGTATGTATGCAGTGTGTGTGTATGTATGTATGCAGTGTGTGTGTGTGTATGCAATGTGTGTGTGTGTATGCAATGTGTGTGTGTGTGTATGTATGCAATGTGTGTGTGTGTGTATGCAATGTGTGTGTGTGTGTATGTATGTTGTGTGTGTGTGTGTGCAATGTGTGTGTGTGTGTGTATGCAATGTGTGTGTGTGTATGTATGCAGTGTGTGTGTGTGTGTGTATGTATGTAGTGTGTGTGTGTGCAATGTGTGTGTGTGTGTGTATGCAATGTGTGTGTGTGTGTATGTATGCAGTGTGTGTGTGTGTGTGTATGTATGTAGTGTGTGTGTGTGTGTGCAATGTGTGTGTGTGTGTGTGTATGCAATGTGTGTGTGTGTGTGTGTATGCAGTGTGTGTGTGTGTGTGTGTGTATGTATGTATGTGTGTGTGTGTGTGTATGCAATGTGTGTGTGTGTATGTATGCAGTGTGTGTGTGTGTGTATGTATGTAGTGTGTGTGTGTGTGTATGCAGTGTGTGTGTGTGTATGCAGTGTATGTGTATGCAGTGTGTGTGTGTGCAGTGTGTGTGTGTATGTATGTATGCAGTGTGTGTGTGTGTGTGTGTGTGTGTATATGCAGTATGTGTGTGTGTGTGTGTGTGTGTGTGTGCAGTATGTATGCAGTGTGTGTGTGTGTGTGCAGTGTGTGTGTGCAGTGTGTGTGTGTGTGTGTATGCAGTGTGTGTGTGTGTATGTACGTTTGTATGCAGTATGTATGCAGTGTGTGTGTATGTATGTATGTATGCAGTATGTATGCAGTGTGTGTGTGTGTGTGTGTGCAATGTGTGTGTATGTATGCAGTGTGTGTGTGTGTGTGCAGTGTGTGTGTATGCAGTGTGTGTGTGTGTGCAGTGTGTGTGTATGTATGCAGTGTGTGTGTGTGTGTATGTATGCAGTGTGTGTGTGTGCAGTGTGTGTGTGTGTGTGTGTGTGTGAGTATGTATGCAGTGTGTGTGTGTGTGTGTGTGAGTATAAAAACAGAGTGTGTGTGTGAGGGTAAGAGTGTGTTGCACTCTGTCCCCGTGTGTGTGTGTGTGACTGTGTGCAGTGTGTGAGTGTGAGTGTAAGTGTGAGTGTATGTATGCAGTGTGTGTGTGTGCAGTGTGTGTATGAGTATGAGTATGTATGTATGCAGTGTGTGCAGTGTGTGTATGAGTATGAGTATGTATGCAGTGTGTGTGTGTGCAGTGTGTGTGTGTATGTATGTATGCAGTGTGTGTGTGTGTGTGTGTGCAGTGTGTGTGTATGTATGTATGCAGTGTGTGTGTGTGTGCAGTGTGTGTGTGTGTATGTATGCAGTATGTATGCAGTGTGCAGTGTGTGTGTATGCAGTGTGTGTGTGTGTGTGTGCAGTATGTGTGTGTGTGTGTGACTGTGTGCAGTGTGTGAGTGTGAGTGTAAGTGTGAGTGTGAGTGTGTGTGAGTGTCAGTGTGTGTGCAGTGTGTGTGTGTGAGTGTGAGTGTGTGTGAGTGTGAGTGTGTGTGCAGTGTGTGTGTGTATGCAGTGTGTGTGTGTGCAGTGTGTGTGTGTGAGTGTGTATGCAGTGTGTGTGTGTGTATGTATGCAGTGTGTGTGTGTGTGCAGTGTGTGTGTGTGTGTGTGTGTGTGTGTGTATGTATGCAGGGTGTGTGTGAGTCTATTTCAGTGTGTGAGAGTGTGTATGTCCGTGTGTGTGTGTTAGTGTGAGTGTGAGTGTGAGTATATATGTGTATTTTGCACATTTGTCCATGAGTGTGTGTGTATGTACTTGGTTTATAACCATGATATTACAATGTGAATGTTTTGTATGGTGTGGGGTTGATGCTGAATTGTAATTTTTTGTGGTTGTTTGTTGCAGAGAAGATGAGCATAAACAGAAGGCTAAGGCTAAGGCTACTGCATTACAGGTGTCCTTTAATTTCCCTCTTCACATGCAATGCCTAGGAATGATAGCAATCCTCATACTATTGTTTTTTTTTTTTGTTTGGATAGATATGGATCGAATGAAGCTTTTATTGATCTTATTGTTAGAGATGTCTTATTTGGAGACAATTTGTATTTGTACGATTCTTGTGGTGATGATGCTACGTGGCAAACAGAGACATGTTGAACGACCCACATTGACTAACCGTTCACTTATTAGACGAGAGATTAGTTTGTGTTATCTGAATGGTATAATAGGGAATACTGATACTGAATGTGTCAACGAATTGAGAATGGATAGAAGGACTTTTGGCATATTATGCGACTTACTTCGTCAAGATGGGAGGGTAAAAACTGATGGTTTGGTGTCTGTAGAGGAACAGGTGTGTGTATGACTTTACAAATATTAGCACATCATACTAAGAATCGTAGTGTTGGCGGTAGATTTTATAGGTCGGGAGAGACTATAGTAGGTATTTTAATAGCGTATCGCAAGGAATTTTGCGATTACAAGGTATCCTACTAAAAGTCCCCCAGCCTGTGCCTATTGATTCTACAGATCCTAGGTGGCGATGTTTTAAGGTATGATGAGAATTTTTTTTCATTTTCCCTAAGCTTTAACTCTTCATTCCCTTTGTATAAATTAACAAAAACTTTTTTATTTTTATTTTTAAGAATTGCTTGGGAGCATTGGATGGAACACACATTGATGTGCATGTACCTGAAATTGACAAACCAAGATACCGAACAAGAAAGGGTCGAGTCGCAACTAATGTGTTAGGTGTGTGTTCAGGAGATATGCAGTTCATATATGTGTTTCCGGGGTGGGAGGGTTCCGCATCAGACTCTAGAGTGCTACATGATGCAATTAGTAGGCCTAATGGTTTTAAGGTACCAGCGGGTAAGACTATTACTTAGTCTCAACTTTGTAAGTTAGGTTTAGTTCTGTTTGTCAACTACAAAACACTAATAAGGTCTGTTTTTTTTTTCATTAGGTTTGTTATTACCTTGTAGATGGTGGTTATACAAATGGTGAAGGATTCCTTGCACCCTATAGAGGAATACCTTATCATTTATCTGAATGGGAGGGACGAACACCTTCTAATAAGGAAGAATATTTTAACATGAAGCATTCTAAGGCAAGGAATGTAATTGAACGCTGTTTTGGCTTGCTAAAAGGAAGGTGGTCGATACTAAGGAGTCCATCTTTCTATCTGATAAGGACACAAGGTCGAATAATTACCGCTTGTTGCCTACTACACAATCTTATTAGGCAAGAGATGTCTGTAGATCCAATGGAGAATTTGCCAATAATAGAAGATGGACAAAATACAGAAGAAGGTGAATATGTTAGTAGTGTTCAAACATCGGACCAGTGGACTGCAATGAGGAATGATATGGCTCAGGAAATGTATAATGAGTGGAGAGCAATTAGGAACCAGCAACCGAACTAGCTATATGTGTTAATGATAACATTTTATTTTAGTATTCCTTTTTATCATGCATTTGTTTGATATTAGCACAATGATTGGATGGTATGCAAATTAATTGGATATTATGCAAGTTGATTGGATATTATGCAAGTTGATTGGATATTATGCAAATTGATTATTTGTATGGTATTTTCCTTCATTAAAATATTTTTGTTTAGGTATGGATAACGAAATTTTTTTGAATGCTACTCAAGAGCCAAAAGGAAGAAGGCGTAAATGGGAAGCATTTGAGGAAGAAGTATTACTAGGAGTTCTTGAGGATTTTGTTGCTCGGAAGCAACGGTGTGACACCGGTGCTTTCAAACAAGGTACTTTGGTTGAAATAGCAAAAGCTGTCAATGTTTTATGTCCTCATTCAAATATAAAGGCAAATCCACATATTGAGTCCAAGTTGAAGAAATGGAAAAAAACATATAGTATGGTCGTTGACATGATAAACACAAGTGGATTTGCATGGAATGATGTCAAAAAGTGCGTTGAAGTTGACAGTGATGACGCATGGCAAACTTATGTGCAGGTTCATATCCTATTTTATTTATGCATTAGTTATATTCTTGCTGCTATATTTGTTATGCATGCTAAATTTTAGTTTTGCTATGTTGATATAATCTTAGAGAAATAAAGAAGCCGATGGATGGAGAAGCAAACCTTTTCCACTGTTTGATAGATTTGCATATATATTTGGAAAAGATCGGGCTACGGGTAATGTAGCCGAAACCCCTGCTCAAATGGTGGAGGAACAAAGTCATGATCATGTTGGTGAAAGTGATATTGGAGGTGATAATTTTGTTTCTTCAATGAACCAACAAAGCCAACAAAGCACCCCATCTGAAAATAGCCAAAGAAAGAGGAAAAGAGTTGTGGGAAGTTCAAGTGATGGAACCGAGGCAATTATCAGTGGACTGAAAGATTTTTATGTTGAAAGTGGGAAGAGGATGCAAATGGTAACTGAAGCTTTAGTTCAAGGTACTGCAGATCATACTGACATAGCTAATGAACTTGAAGCAATGGGTTTCTCTCCTATGGATCAAATTGATGCATTGTCTCTTATTTTGGATAAACCAAAAAATGTGGGAGTGTTCAGGGCAATCAAACCGGAACTCAAGAAAGTGTTCGTCCAAAGGCTTTTAAGCGACAACGCAAGCGGATGAGGATTTTGGCTAATGTTAACATGGATGTATTTTATTAACGTTAACATGGATGTATTTTATTAATCATACAATCTTATGTTATGACTTATAACTTAGCTTTGCACTAGTATTTTGGCTTATGTTAACTAGCCATTTTGTAAATTATGGAGATCTATTTTGGCTAATGTTAACTAATGTTAACTAGGATTTTCTAAATTATGGAGATCTTATGTACTTGTATTTGTTGAAGTTGCATGTATTGGCCACTATTATTTTTCTTCTGTTGGGTGATAGAGTTTAAATCAAGCTACATTTGCAAATTAAACCCAATTCTATTAGCAGGTAATAGAAACAAAACAATTGTCAATTTTTTTTAAGATTCATAATATACATGGTAAAAATATGCTCCAATTAACCTATATCATGAGATTTGTAGCATTACTCTATTACACAATGACAAAAATTTGTAGTCCTAGTCTAAGCAAACACAAATCTGGTGAACAGTACTGTTTTTCTTATCCTGCTTCTTAGTCTGAGACTGCACCAAACGCTTCACTAAGTTAGTCCAGCTTAGTCCAGTCTAAGCCAGTCCAGCTTAGTCCCGGCAGCTAGTCCAGTCCGAGACAGTCCGGCGCAACAAACGCACCCTAAGTGTACTGAAAATTATGTAACTAACTATATGATACTAAACTAGTGTACTGAAATGATGGTAACTAAATATATTATATTAAACTAGTGTACGAAAACGTTCGTACCTAAACATATTATACTAACCCAGTGTACGGAAATGTTTGTACCTAAAATATATTATAATGAATTAGTGGTAGATAAGGAAATATGCAAAAACATAAGTGTACTGAAAAATTTCTACGAAAATATTTTCTTCTATAAGATGCTTACCATAATAAGAATTAAAATTTATAATATTCTCATAAAATTTAAATTTATAAAATTTAAAATAAAAAAAAAAAGAGACATTGAATACATATGGTGGCATTAAATAGATTCTAGGGACTAAAATTAATTTTTAATATCAGACATTTATCTAAATTTCATCTTATTTAGGAATTAAAATCTAATTTTCTATAAAATAAATGTACAGTACGACCATGTTGAAAATAATCCAATAAAGTATAAGAAACAACATGAACGATGATATTCGTATGGGATAGGATCAAAGGATAAATATTTTTTCAAATAGTTTTACACTCTTTTTAAGTCTTTTGATTACATGACATCCAATGGTTCTTATTTATTCATTAAATGACATGGATGCTTATATGGATTTTAATTAATATTAAGGATCAAATAAAACTAAAAAAAAAAACATAAAATCTGGAAAATTAAAATTAAAATTAAAAAAAAGAAGACTTTAATTGAAATTGGTTCTCCCATTCTCATTTCGATCAAGACTTGGATTCAAACTTTGAACCCTAATAAAAAAATCATTAACTAAGGTTTTTTTTTTTTTCAGACTTGGATTCAAACTTCATCCTTTATGTATTCGGGCTCTTATCAAATATTTTCTTCGTTCTGTCGGTAATTTTAAAAGAACAAATTGAATGGGAATACACAATATTATAGAGGTGATATTGGTACCACATAACATAAGAAAAAATACATCTTACATCTTTGTGTTTTAAGACGAGAGATTCCATATTCTGTGATTTTTTGAGAAACTCTGTTAGTAGTTCCCAGATGCAGTAATTTTAAAGAACCGAATTAAGGTTTGGAATTAGGTCAAATGAAATAACATGAACAAGGGTAATATATTCAACTTCATGTAATTGCCATACAAGACATGAAGTTGCAAAAGCATATCAGCAAAGGGGGAGAACTGCGAACAACTAGGGTTTCTTTCTTTTTTAATTTTAGTTTTAATTTTTCAAATTTTACGTTTTTTTTTCTTCAGTTTTATTTGATCTTTAATATTAGTTAAAATCCACATAAGCATTCATGTCATTTAATGAATAAATAATAACTATTGGATGTCATATAATCAAAAGGCTTAAAAAGAGTGAAAGTATTTGTCTCTTGATCCTATCCCTATTCGTGTTGAGTATCAATATCATATTAACAACGTTATATTCATGTATTGGTTAAAACTCTAAACCCAAGCCCTACACTCAAAGCTCTAAGCTATTCCAAAGAACACTCTAAAACTCATAACTCAAAATGATCAACCCCATTTTTGACGGACATTCTAAATTTCAAAACTCAAAACGATGAACCAATTTCGAATTTTGAGATTTAGAATGTCCTCCTTTAAGAAGAAGAGAAAGAAAAAAAACCGTAACCCCGAGCTCTAGCGCGCACCATCTAAATCCTAAAAGAAATACGCTTGATGACGTAATCACCTTACTTTGATTTACTATATAAACCACCTTTCTAGCGCCTTCCCATGCAGAAGCCCCAAATTCTCTCGTCGCTTACAAAACAAAACCATGAACCCCCGATCAAGGGCGATAGCCAAGGCTAAGGCCAGGGCTAAGGCCAAGTCCAAGTCCCTAGCCGGACCAGGATCCGGATCCCGGCAGGAGAAGATTCCAGGCCAACGGACGAAGCTAGGAGGTGAGATCCGGACTCCTCCCTCTTCTCTTGGTGTGCTATGGTTTTAGGGTTTGTGAGGAGGAAGAAGATTTGCATGTTTGTTATGGTCTTAGGGTTTGTGAGGAGAAAGAGATTATCTCTAATTTCGAATTTGCAGCTTAATTAAGATGTATATATGTTTTTAGGGTTACTGTGCTTGAACTTAATTAGGGTACTTGATGATGCCCAATTTTTCGTCTTCATAAAAATTCCCTGGCTATACTGAAAATGTGTATTTTGTTTCCTTTCCATGCCTCATTACATAATGCGAACTGAGCATAACTTTCTATCAAGTATCGTCCCAAATCTGTTTGATTTGGCCCTCCCACAGTTACTCTACTTGTGTAGAATTAATTCTCAACAAATTTCATGCGTAGGGGACTATCTATTATTCTCAGTTAGCTATTTATACATATAATTCCATTGAGGATACCAGCCTTCGAACCCACGACATTGAGGATTTGTGCTTGCACCCTTAAACCACAATGGTAGGAAGAAGGCCGGGAGCTATTTACACACACACACATGCACGAACCCACAACATTGAGGACTTGTGCTTCCACGCTTAACCACAATGGTAGGAAGAAGGCCGGTAGTTATTTACACACACGCACACACACACGAACCCACAACATCGAGGACTTGTGCTTGCACACTTAACCACAATGGTAGAAAGAAGGCCGGTAGCAATTTACACACACACACACGCACACACACGCAGGTGGCAATGGCATGCATATGGCTGGCTTTGTTATCTTCCTAACAAATTAACCCAGAGACAGAGTAGAACGTAATTGAGCATGAAGCACTAGTGGTAGGTATTTGATGATTCAATGAGATATCCTCCTAACAAATGAACCCAAACAGAGTAGAACTTAATTGATCATGAATCAGTAGTAGTAATTATTTGATGATTCAATGAGATCGAGAATACAAAGTAATTAAGGGCCCGACCGGAATTCAGATGGCTTGCTTACTTAGCTTATATATGCACTGTGCAATTTGTATTATTAATTAATGTATCTCCACATTTCCTCAAACACACAGATGGCCCCTCCTCTCAACTCAAAAATGAAAAGGCTGTTGAAGAGAATCTGGCTAAAGTCCAACTTGACGAGGAGAATACTACTACTCCAAAACCAAAACCAGAAGAGAAGAAAATGAGCAGGGCATTCACAGCTGAGAAACCTTTCAGATTCCAATTCAAACACCCTTGCGAAGTTTGCAATGTGTTTGGCCACTGGAGTGATAAATGCCCCTACCTGAAACGTATACCAGACAATGTAACTGAGGTTGGCAAGGGCTACAGAATATTGGATGGCCGGGGGCTGAGGTATGCTGATATGATGTGCTGTCTTCTTTGTGGCAAATTTCGTGACCACGAGGATGAGGACTGCCCGGATTTAAGCAAATTCATTGCAGAAGGCCACCCCCTTCTCAACCGAGTTCCTCGCAGCCCGTAATCTTGCTGATGGCGAGGATGCTGTTGGATTGTCTGGTCTTGGGATTTTCTTCTAGTTTCAGCAGTCTGTAGTCTGTATATATGTCTTTGAGTAAGCTCACCTGCCCCGTCCGTAGTGACTGATGGCTGGCGGATGGATACTGTATTTGGGTTTGGTTTGCTTGTGCTGGTCTTAGAATATTAATACTTGATTGTTCTTATTTCTAAGTGGGAAGCCCTTTGCTTGTGCTGGCCTTGGATGCAAAAGTTATTCAAAACACAGCTAACTTGCACGTTAATGAAACAAAAACAAACTTTTAGATCCCGTTTGACCAATTGATCCAACTGTGTTTTTTGTTTCATTGTTCACCAGAGAAAGCCCCGTCTTGGATGCGTGTTACCAAGGTTTGGGCGGCTGGTAGGGGCCCAACGCCTAGGCGTCTAAGTAGTGCCTAGGTGGCGGCCTTGGCTTTTCTTTTTTAATTTTAATTTATTTATTATATAATATATCCTTGTGTGTATATATGTATGTAAATATCTATTTATACATAACAAAATACATCAACATCATTGTATAGGATACATAAATTGCCAAATAGAATAACGTATGGATTATAAAATATTAGAACATATTGAAACACGAGGAACAAACATATAATGAGTGTTCATTCAAGTTTTTTACAATTTATTGAAAAAAATAAAATACAAAATGAAAGCTATCTATTTTCTGCTTAAGTGAGAGTCGCGACTTAGGCAAATGCCTAGGCAAGGTAGGCGGGAGCCTAGGTAGGTCTAGGCGATCTTTCTTAATTTTTAAACACTTAAGGATTAATCGGGCCGGTGATCAACCGCCTAGCTCCTGGGTGGGCCTAGACGGCCCTAGGCAGGCATTTTAGAACAATGTTGTACCTGGTTGGATTGATGCTTTGCTTTGGTATGCTGTTTGATCTCTTTCTTTTTTTTTTCTTTAAGAAAAAGAAGAGTTTACTATTGTTAAGGGGAGGGGAAGAGTTCGAAACTAGTACAATATTTAGTGGAACGAAGAGTTTCGAACATGGGATGCATGAATAGAAGCCCAATACCCTATCCATTAGGATATTAGACAATGTGCCTCTCTTTTGGCCTGTGCTTGCTTTAGTTTGCTTGTATGGTGTTGGCTTCGGGGTGTTGTTTAGTTCACTTGATCTCCAACACAATCCTGAACCACATTATATAAGAAATATTTTCCTTGTAAGCAGCAGCATCAGCGACTTGATCACAGATTCTGTCGATCCATGGATTCCGTTGGATAATAAGCCAAACCAAACATTCACAATTAAACCAAACCAACCACTTGAAAACCTTTCAATGAGATCAAAATTTTGCTCCAATTTTGTGACTAACATGGATCCATAAAAAGTGCAATTTTTCAAGACATGTAAGATGTTCGACTTCACGAGGCAGTTGCTTCAACTCCAAGCATTCATCTCTATGACCACCGCACCCAGTCAGTCGAGAGGAATGGTTTAGAGTTAACTTGCAAGCTCCGTCTCTTTCTAATTTATTCACTTTGACTATTTCATTTGGCAATTCACAATTGGGAAAGCTTTATTAACATTTAAGATCCATTAGTAACACGATTCGATGATCGATGATCTTTTGAAACATGAGGCACAAACATATAATGATTTGATGAAAAAGGAGCAGCCATGGTAGAAGCATATTGTTTAACTGCTTCTTCCCCATTGTGTTTTTAACACAATTTCTCAGCTTTCCAAATTGAAAGGGCAAGTTCGAGTACAAGGTCATGCATCTTGAACGCTTTAACCCTTCCGTGGGCTTCTCTCTTAACAGCTTTTTGTATGCCATTGGCAAGTTAGTTCTGCTTTGTAGCTTTGAGCTATCTTTTTTAGCTCATCCCCTCGGAACGACATGCCACATTCCCATTTTCTATTCACATACAACCACCTAACAACTATGAATTTCAAAACACTGTCCAAAAGAATGTCAACTAAAAATGCAAAACAACTAATCAACGTGTATAAGAAAATATTGTACATTTCTGATGATAATTAAGCCCACAACGATGCCCCAAAGCGAACTCTATCGCATAATCCCTCCACTTCCCCACCCCTATACAGTTTTCATAACCCTTTTGTTTTGTAACATTCGTATTACTCATACAATAGTCATTACACAACTCTTCCACGTTCCTTGTCCTCTTTTCCCACATCACATTAGAGCTTCCAAAAACAGTTTGTACCAAAGCGTTGAGAGTGGTAGGCGAACGAAGAAACTGTCAACTAAAAGCAGCCATGAGTATTGGATGGCTAGTGAAGTTAGGCTAGTCAACTTTCTTTATGTAAATTAGGCAAGTTAGGTAAGTTAGGCAAGTTAGGCAAGTTAGGCAAAGTTAGGTCCTATGTCTTCTTTCTTTCCCTATATATATGTTCATCTTGTAATGAGAAATAATCATCTAATATCAAGAAATTAACTCTATTTTGGCATGGTATCAGAGCCATTCTGATCCAAACAGAGTTTCTATTCTTATTCACTTACTGGCACTACTGCCATCTACCCAATAAGACCTGCTATTCTGCAGGTCTTCTACTTTCATACCAACCCAATCTTACTCTTTTTTCATTTGGCCATATCTACCAACATTATTACCCATATCCAGCTTGTTAACCATACATATTCCGCTGCATCTTTTCCCATATTCTTCCCATTTGCAGTATCTCTGCAAAACCCAGAAATCTTTCCACAAAAAAATATACTACCCAATACCCCATAAGCCATACCCGTTGGAAAAATATACTACCCAATACCCCATAAACCATACCCGTTGGAATCACCCAACAAATTTACCCATAACCTCTGAGGCAGTAATAATGGGTGACTCCAAGACCACTGTTTCAGCTACTGTTACTCAAAGTGATATGTCTCTACATATCACCCCAGACAAGTTGGATGGGTCCAACTATTCCTCATGGTCCCAAAGTGTCCTCATCTACATCACTGGCAGAGGTAAATGGTCTTATGTCAGTGGAACAAAAATGGCACCAGCAGAAGCTGATGCATTGTATGCTATATGGGAGGAAGAGAATGTCATGGTTCAATCTTGGTTACTCAACTCCATGACCAGAGATGTACGGGCCATTTTTCTCCGACTCTCTACTGCAAAAGATGTTTGGGATGCTGTTACCCAAACTTACTCAATTGAAAAAGATGCATCAAAGTTATACGAACTTCGCCGTCAAGCACTGGCGACTCGCCAGAATGGAGAACCTTTATCTGCATATTATGGTAAACTTCAGCAAATATGGCAAGAAATTGATTTCTTGCGTCCTGGAAAATTGAAGTGCGCTAATGATATTGCTACCCGAGAGACAGAAATTTCGGAAGAAAGATTGTATGATTTTCTGGCTGGTCTTGACCCTCATTTAGATCATGTTCGCAGTCAAGTTTTGACTCAAACAACTCTGCCTTCTGTTCGTGCTGCTTATGCTCTTGTGAATGCTGAAGCAAGTAGGCAAACCATTATGTTGGTTGGCCCACAAGTGGAGGGATCCGCCATAGTAGCTGATCTGTCTCGATTTCCCCGTGGAGTCTCCAATTCTCGATTAGGTGGATCCAAAACTACTGATACAAGGAAGTGTACTTATTGTGACAAGGATAAGCATACTAGAGACACTTGTTTCAAGCTGCATGGATATCCTGATTGGTGGGTTCAAAAGAAGGAAAATCAAAAGAAAGTCATTGGTGGATCATAAGCACACCTGACACCAACGCCTTCCATACCTCGGGTGGATCAATCTGCTCACTTAGTTTCTCCAACTACTGCTTCTACTTCCTTAGTCGATGCAGGTAACTTTGGTTTTGCCTTGAACACTACAATTGTTCCTCCCAATAAACCTTGGATCATTGATTCAGGGGCTTCTGACCACATGACCAATAACTCTACATGGTTTGTTTCTCACACTACTCCACCTTTAAATACCGTTAAAGTTGCTAATGGTATTTCTACTCCAGTGCTTGGAGCAGGCTCCATCTCATTAACACCAGGCTTATCTCTCTCATCTGTTTTACATGTTCCTAAACTTTCTCACAATTTGTTTTCCATTGGTAAACTTACAAATCAACTAAACTGTCTTGCCATCTTTTCTCCTACCCACTGTTGGTTTCAGGATATTCGAACGAAAGCATTGATTGGTCATGGTAGAGAGAGGGGAGGTCTATACTACTTGGACTTACCACCAGATTGTGAGAAGACAAGTTACAGTTGTCAAGTGGAGGCCAAACAATTTGAAGCTTCTGAAAAAATTTGGTTATGGCACAAAAGATTGGGACACCCTTCCTTTCAGTACCTGCAATATCTATTCCCTTCTTTATTTTCTAAAGTCAAGGTTTCTGATTTCCATTGTGAAACTTGCATTCTTTCTAAAAATCATCGTGTCTCATTTCCTTTAAGTTCCCATAAAAGTAATGTTCATTTCTCTCTTATTCATTCTGATGTTTGGGGACCATTTCATATTCCTACTTATACTGGTGCTAAATACTTTGTTTCTTTCATTGATGACTGCACTCGAGTTTCTTGGGTATACTTACTAAAAAACAAGAGTGAGGTTATGTCTATTTTCCCAATCTTTCATCAAATGATTCAAACCCAATTTCATGCTAAAATTCAAGTCGTTCGATCTGATAATGGGAAAGAATATTTGAATTATGGACTTGGAACATTTTTTCAACAACACGGTATCATTCATCAAACATCTTGTCCACATACTCCTCAACAGAACGGTATAGCAGAACGTAAAAATCGTCATCTCTTGGATGTGGCTCGCTCTTTATGTTCTGCTATGCACGTTCCTAAACGTTTTTGGGGCGATGTCATTCACACAGCTGTTTTTCTTATCAATCGCATGCCATCACATGTTCTCCAATTTCAAACACCTATCCAAACCCTTTCCCAATATCATTCTCTTCCTTCACTCCTTCATATTCCTCCAAAAGTGTTTGGTTGTGTCTGCTACGTTCACGTCCCCATGCAAAATCGGGATAAGTTGGATCCTAGAGCCATCAAATGTGTGTTTATTGGCTATTCTGCTACTTAGAAAGGGTATCGATGTTACTATCCTCCAACTGGGAAATTTTTTGTCTCTATGGATGTTACCTTTCGGGAACACGAGGCATTTTTTTCAAAAGAAGATTTGGCCACTTCTCTTCAGGGGGAGATATGGAGTAAGGAGGAAGAGAAGTTGCCGCTTGACATTGGTGATGAACACTTGTCTGATGTCGGTGATGGTGCAAATTTGCCTAATGATGAGGCACAAGGTGAAAAAATATTGAAGGTGTATGAGAGGACAAGAAAAAAGGGAGATAAAGAAAAAAGGGATGATGAGATAGACCACCCTCCCCACATAGACCAACTCTCTGACCAATCAGCTGCTACTCGTACGAATTATCCTGAGGTAACCACTCATTCTCCCTCTCTTCAGCCTACTATATTTGATGAGTCCAATCATGAGATTTCATTAAGTGATGATCCAAATGATTCAAATGAACCACATCGTGAGTCTCAGGGTTCTCGTTATCCTATTCGAGAAAATCGAGGGATACCCCATGTTCGTCATGGTCAGTCTTCTACAAAGGGTATTCAATATCCTATATCTAATTTTGTTTCATCTCATCGCTTGTCAGACTCTTATATATCTTTTGCAAACCAATTGTCATCAGTCTCAGTTCCTAATAAGTTACAGGATGCTCTTAAAGATCCAAAATGGAAAAAGGCTATGATTGAAGAGATGGAAGCGCTTCGAAAAAACTCCACTTGGGAACTGGTTGCACTTCCTGAAGGCAAGAAACCTGTTGGGTGTAGATGGGTGTTCACAGTGAAGCATAAAGCTGATGGTTCAGTGGAGAGGTACAAGGCTAGACTGGTAGCCAAAGGTTATACTCAAACCTATGGCATTGATTATCAGGAGACATTTGCTCCGGTAGCAAAGATCAACACTATCAGGGTTCTTATGTCATTGGCAGCAAATCTAGGGTGGCCTCTACGACAGTTTGATGTAAAAAATGCATTTTTACATGGAGACTTGGATGAAGAGGTATACATGGATCTTCCTCCAGGATTCACTACCACTTGCGATATTGGCAAAGTATGCAGGTTAAGAAAGTCCTTGTATGGATTGAAACAATCACCAAGGGCATGGTTTGGCAGGTTCGCTCAATCAATGAGAAGTTATGGGTTCAAGCAAACTCAAGCTGACCATACCTTATTTCTTAAGCATGATAGAGGTAAACTTACAGCCTTAATTGTTTATGTGGATGATATGGTGGTTACAGGTAATGATGTCGAGGAAATTCAAAAACTTCAAAAAGTATCTAGCCAAGGAATTTGAAATGAAGGACTTGGGTACTCTGAAATATTTCTTGGGTATTGAAGTTGCAAGATCAAAGCATGGCATTTTTCTTTCTCAAAAGAAATATGTTATAGACTTATTAACTGAGACTGGGATGTTAGCTTGTAAACCTGCAGACACACCAATTGAGCAAAACCATAGATTGGGAGACTATCATGATCAAGTTCCGGCTAACAAGGAAAGGTACCAAAGATTAGTTGGGAGGTTGATTTATTTGTCTCATACACGATCTGACATAGCCTATGCTGTAAGTGTAGTGAGTCAATTTATGCACAGGCCAAGTGAAGCCCACATGGATGCTGTACAACGCATTCTCAGGTATTTGAAGTCTGCCCCTGGAAAAGGCTTGATGTTTTCCAATCATGGACATCAAGAAGTTGAAGGGTACACTGATGCAGATTGGGCTGGGTCAGTAACTGATCGCAGATCGACTTCTGGATACTTTACATTTGTTGGAGGAAATCTAGTTACTTGGCGCAGTAAGAAGCAACATGTAGTGGCTAGATCCAGTGCCGAAGCTGAATTTAGAGGTATGGCACATGGTGTGCAAGAATTGTTATGGCTCAGGACTTTGTTGAGAGAATTAGGTTTTAATTCTGCAAAGCCATCAAAACTTTATTGTGATAACAAAGCTGCCATTAGCATTGCTCATAATCCAGTTCAACATGATCGTACTAAACATGTTGAAGTGGATAGGCACTTTATCAAGGAAAGGTTGGTTGATGGTACCATTAACTTGCCTTATGTGAAGAGTGATGACCAGATAGCAGATATTTTAACAAAGGCAGTGTCAAGTAGGATTTTCCATCTTTCACTCAGCAAGTTGGGCATTCGAGATATTTACGCACCAACTTGAGGGGGAGTGTCAACTAAAAGCAGCCATGAGTATTAGATGGCTAGTGAAGTTAGGCTAGTCAACTTTCTTTATGTAAATTAGGCAAGTTAGGTAAGTTAGGCAAGTTAGGCAAGTTAGGCAAAGTTAGGTCCTATGTCTTCTTTCTTTCCCTATATATATGTTCATCTTGTAATGAGAAATAATCATCTAATATCAAGAAATTAACTCTATTTTGGCAGAAACCAAAGTCTATACTCTCACCTCCCATTCTGCACACAATGCACCAATATAGAGATAGACTTTCATTAATCTTTCCTTCTTCAGCAATGTTACAAGTATTAACTCTACCATGAGCCAAAATCTATCCAAAAATCTGTGCCTCATATGGTTCTTTTGCTTTCCAAATCATCCGAAGAGGATAAAAAAGGGGAGGAGTTGATTCATTAATTAATTTGGTGAAGAATGACTCGCACAAAATACATGGGATGACTCAAATCTTCCAATAAGTTCTATTCGATATAGTCAATCAATAGTAAAGACACATTTTCATGTAAATGATGTAAAGAAGAAAGCACCATAACCTCCAAATCTTTCTAAAACCTAATCTTTACCCCCAATCCCTACCGCTAAACAAAGATAGGATTGAAAGGATTATCATGTGATATGCCTTCCCAAGGACATTGACTCAAGCCCTTAACCACAATATCACCCATTAACATTTATTTAACATTTTCTTTCAATGCGAATATTCAGCAGTGATTACCAATAAAGTAGATGCAACATGAATGTGAATTTACAAATATTAAGATTGAGCAGGAGTATATGTTACGTCACCTGCTACGTAGGTGGACACAGGCTATCATTACTTTGTCTGAGTTTTGACCATCCTCCAAGTTCAAATTGTTTATATTTGAAGATAGCTCTTCATTAAGATGAGCGTACTAGCATCCAATCAACCTTGTGCCTACAAAACACAATGGTTTATGAAGTGCATTTTGTAATTAATATAGGAAATTATTTCATTAAACTAAGCTATAGTAAAACGATAAAAGCAGAGATAAATTTAGTCCTTTCAGAAGAAAACTAGTGAGCACAGTGGTCACGTCTCTGGGCATCAGACGAAGATCTGGAATAGTATCCCACATTAGTTGAGGTTAGGGGGTTTTTATGGGATGAAAGAGAGTTGCTCATTGTCAAGCACATGGATAAATTAAAGTCAGGTTGCTAAGTTTTAATTAAACCTAAGTATATAAAATCCCCAAGAAACCCAACAAATGAGTCGAGGTTGAGTCAACACCACTCAAATTTCAACGGAAAACCCTTCAAACTCCCTCACCTCTCTAGATAGATTTCTTTATTATTTTAACATGTAACTCATGTGATGATTGACTAGAAACAGAGTAACTTCATACGTAGCTCAACACAAAATTAGAAAGGCAAAGCAGAAAAAAGTCATAGAGAAGGGGAAGTGATTTTAATGTACCTGAATTTTCCTTGGTGGTAATCATCCTATTTTTCAAGTCTTGAGCAGCCTCATTCATGCCTCGTTCATTGTAGGCTTGGATCATGGTAGCAAATGTGATATGATCAGGCACACATTTTTTCTCTTTCATTGCTAAAAACAGTTCGCTTACCTTTCTTAGGTCACCAGTGCGACAATAAGCACTAATAATACAGTTGAAAAAAGGTGTATCTAACATGACATCCGAATTCTCTACTTGCCTCAAAATGGAATCAACTTTACTTATACTCCCAGCTTTGCTATACGCACTAACAAGAGAACAATAGGTGATAGAGTTGGGCTTCATTCCTTGATGCTTCATTCTTCGGAAGTATTCGTCCATCTTCTCAATATTTCCAGCTTTACCGAATACCTCAATTACAATATTATAAGTAACAATAGTTGGGGTGAAAAACCTTTTCTTCATAAATTCCATAACAGATCTCATCTTTTCGTACATTCTTGCCTTCCCGTATGATTTAATCAGGATATTGAATGTCTTAGGGTCTGGCCTTATTCCCATCAGCTGAAATTCATCATACCACTTCTCCATCCTCTCTATCTGCCCACAATTCCCATAAGCACTGAGAAAAGAATTGAAAGTGAAAACATCAGGAAGGCAGCTGCCACTTTCAATCATATTTGTCAACGTTTCCTCCATCAGTTCAAACATTTCAGCCTTACCATATCCATCAATTAGGGTATTGTATATGACTGTGTTGCATCCAATCCCCAGGTACGACATCTCAGCAAGAACGCGTTCAATCAGGTCAGGACGATTGAACTTGGTGCAGGAATTAATAAGAATAGAATATGTATATACGTCTGGTTTGCAGTCAGAAACTGACTTCATATCATCAACGGTAGAGAATGCCTTGTCAAGGAGGCCACTTTTGCCATAAACACTAACAAGAGCTGTGTAGACATCAACAGTAGGTTTGAGCCCATCACTCAACATGAGCTCAAAAAGCAAGCTGGCCTGCTCAGGTTGCCTGCACTTGCCAAGCATCATCAGCAGCTTGGTGTACGTTTGGCATCTCGGCTCATACCAGTGCTGCTTACGAAGTAGACCAAAAATCTAAAGAAATGAACCGTTGGTTTTGGATTAAAAACAACTCAAAAGTTGAACAAAAGGGAGAAACGAAGACTCAAAGTAATCCAGTGTATTTAAGATTGCAAACCAAGATGCTATAACTAGAACTGAAAATTCTTGTGAAGAAGTATTTAGTTTTAGACGTCCAGAGGAGTTTAGAATTGAACCGTTTGCTCATATAACTAATGAAAATGAGCAAAATTGCAGCTATAAGCTTACTTCTCATCAAGTTTCACTTATTTACTAACAGAATTGAGAAAACAGAACATCTAACAGACCCAGAAGCCTCAATTGACAAAACAATAAATTCCCACAAAACCAAAGATCACTACTTTCTTCTGAGGCAACAAGTAATCCTATCCCCACTCAACTAAAGCTGTCAGCTTTTCATTTTATAATTAAAGTTCAATAGTTTCAAACTTACAATATCATTATTTTTAGAACAAAACAAACAACCCAAAATCCAAAATTCTCAGGAAAAAAAAAAAAAAAACAAAACAAAACCCATTTCCGAAATTCTCAGAAACCAAAAAAAATAAAAAACAGGAGAGAAAGTTCCAACAGACCTTGAGAGCAGTTTCCCAGAGATTGGCTGCAATAGCCTCGTCCAGAGCCTCCAAAACGGCCTTGGGCCAAAGGTTGTTGTACTTCTTGGAGTTGGCTTTCCTCTCAATGTTTCTCACGGCGGCGTCCGTTCGGAGGAGTTGAGACAGATTCTTCTGCTCCTTCGTCAGAGACGGGTCGGAGCTCCGTTTCGATAAACGGAGGCAGCGGATTGTTGGGTTTGGTTTGTGGGTGTGTTCAGAGTAGAACGTCGTCCAATATGTGGCGCCGGTTAAGGAGGTTGAGGTCGAGACGCGCAGGTTAGTGGGATAAAGGAGTTGACGCTCCATTGCGCGGGGGCCAGTGATTGTCTCTTGACTGTGACGCGGGTAATGGGAGTGACGCTGGGTGGTCGGGGTTTTAAAGAAGAAGATCAGAAGTATCAGAGTGTCCCAGGATAGGATGCGCTGGCAGGCCTGGTTACAGGGAGAATTTCGAAGTAACTGGTATTTAATCTAAATATTTCATGTGTCATAAAATAATTAGATGGGCACATAAGTGTGGATAATTTTTTTAATTGTTAAAATGCATGAAATAAACATGTTGGAACAATGGTATTGGATGACTAGTGAAGTTAGGCTAGTCAACTTTCTTTGTGTAAGTTAGGCAGGTTAGGCAAGTTAGGCAAGTGTTAGGCAAGTTAAGCAAGTTAGGCTTATGTCCTCTTTCTTTCCCTATATATAAGTTTCATCTTGTAATTGTTAGAATCAATCAATACACATTGAAAATCAATATGGTATCCGAGCTGTGATCTGGGAAAACCACAAAACACAAGCTCTAAGGCAGTCACGAGGTCAACCATTCCAGGCATGGCTTCTCATTCAAAATGGGAAAATCCCAACCACCCACTCTATCTCCACCACTCGAACCAACCTGGTGCAATCCTCGTACCACAACCATTGGTGGAAGACAACTACAGCACATGGGTTCAATCCATGAGTATGGCATTAACGGTCAAGAACAAACTTGGTTTTGTTGATGGGACAATCAACAAACCAAGTGAGGACAATTCTGAGGAGCTGCAACAATGGAATCGCTGCAACAACTTGGTCAAGACATGGCTACTAGGCTCCATGTCAAAGGAGATTTCAGGGAATGTCATCAACTACAAGGATGCTCGACAAATGCGGACCGATCTGCAGGAGAGGTTCTCACATGTGAATATAGTTCAGCTGTTCCATGTTGAGAACGAGATCCATGATTGTGTCCAAAGCAATATGAGTGTAAGTTCTTACTTCACTAAACTTAAAAGTTTACGGATGAACGTGATACTTTGTGTTCCATTCCAGCATGCAGTTGTGGAACAAAGAATGAGATGAACTCATATGTTGAAACTCAAAAAACCATGAAGTTCCTTATGGGATTGAACGAATCGTATGCTACGGTTCGAAGCAATACCCTTCTTCTCGAACCACTGCCTACGGTGAACAAGGCATATGCGTTGGTCCTTCGACATGAATGCCAGGCAGAGGTTTCCAATGGGAAGAGTACACAACCAGAGGCTGTTGTCTTTGCAGTGAAGAATTTGTCGCAAGAACCTACATCGGAAGACAAAGAGATGCGACGTGGAAAGTGCAATAGAACCAATCACATCACCAAAAATTGTCGTGCATATCTCAAGTGCACTTTTTGTGGATGGAAAGGTCACACCTTCGATTTCTGTCGAAAACGGAAAGCAGCCACAGAAACGGAAAGCAGTCGTCGTTTTTCTTCAAAAGGGAATCAAGTTTCACAAAGTAACAAGCAAGAGATGTTGCCCAATTTCCCGTTCTCTCAGGAGGATTGCAAGCAAATCCTTCAAATGTTGAACAAGAACAAATCATCATTTGCCAATCAAGTCGGTAATCCTTCTAGTCATGAAGAACTTTCAGGTAAAGCCTTATCTTTTTCCTGTAAAGGAACCGAAAGTATTTGGATCCTGGACAGTGGTGCCACGGATCACATAGTTTGCAGCCCTAGTCTCTTTACACACTCACGAGCTGTTGAAAATCATATAGTTGAACTGCCAAATGGTTCCGTTGCCAAAGTCACTCACATTGGACAAGTTGTTTTCTCTCATAATCTTATCCTTGACAATGTCCTATGTGTGCCGTTCTTTAAATTAAATTTAATATCCATCAGTAAACTAGCCTATGATTCCTTATATGTCACAATTTTCTTCACCCAATTTTGTGTCATTCAGGACCTTCGCTCGGGGAAGATGATTGGGATGGGAACTGAAAGGGAGGGACTCTACTACCTCGACTCATCAATGAAAGGAACATGCAACAATATTCAAACCATCGCACCAAAGCTTTGGCACCAACGCCTAGGACACCCATCTCATAAAGCCACTTCGTTATTACCTTTCTTTAACAATAAAGCTTGTGATTTGGAAAAATGTTCAATTTGCCCATTGGCCAAACAAACACGATCACCCTTTCCTTTGAGCTCTATTTCTACCAAATCATGTTTTGAATTATTGCATATTGATATTTGGGATGGTTATCAAGTTGCTTCTATTTCAGGTGCCAAGTATTTCCTTACCATCGTAGATGACTACACTAGAAGCACTTGGGTTCATTTGATGAAACATAAATCTGACACAAAAGACATTTTAGTCAAATTCATTCAAATGATTGAGACTCAATTCAATACCAGAGTTCAAATCATACGAAGTGACAATGGCCCTGAGTTTAAACTTGAGCAATTTTATGCTCTCAAAGGCATCATACATCAATCTAGTTGCGTCAACACACCATAACAAAATGGTGTTGCCGAACGTAAACACCGGCACTTGCTCAATGTTGCTCGGGCTTTGCTCTTTCAAGCTTGTCTGCCAAAACATTTTTGGGGAGATGCAATCCTAACCTCAGCCTACCTCATCAATAGAACACCCACTCCACTTCTCCAAGGTAAAACACCCTACGAAAAACTGTTTCACAAAGCACCTAACTATTCTCATTTGAAGGTTTTCGGTAGCTTGTGTTTTGCTTCTACACATGCCCAAAGGCCCTCTAAATTCGACCCTCGTGCAATCCAATGCATTTTTCTTGGGTATCCTTATGGTCAAAAGGGTTATAAATTGTTTGATATAAAACACAATAAGACTTTTGTTTCTAGGGATGTCGTATTTTTTGAAGATCATTTTCCATTCCAACATTGTAACACTTCTGTTGCCCCGTCTCCATCAAACACTACACCTGTCCCGTTTGACTCGACCTCTCCCATTGAGTCGCATTCAAGCCTTGCACCAGCAGACATAAACACCACATCTCCCACACTTGCCGACATCACACCACCCTCATCTCCTTTACCCTCTACAACTCCACCACCAGATACCTTATCAACACCTTCACCTACCCTACACTCTTCCCCACCTCCAACCACTCCATCACCAGATCCACCCCCTCCACTCCGTCGTAGCACTCGACCAACCAAAACTTCCACATTTTTGCAGGACTTTCATGTTAAGGTGGCCCTCCCATCCCGTGTTGCACCCACATCTTCCACAAGCATGGTTCAGTCCTCAGGTACATCTCACTCCCTATCTCGTTATTTATCCTATGACCATGTATCCCCCCCTCACAAAACCTTTCTCACCACCCTCACCATTATCAAAGAACCCACCAGTTTTTCGCAGGCTGTTCAGGATCCCAAATGGCGTGACGCCATGTAAAAAGAGATTGCTGCCCTCCATGACAATCGCACTTGGACTCTTGTGCCCTTACCACCTCACAAACATCCCATATGCTGCAAATGGATCTATAAGGTGAAGCTTAAACCTGACGGCAGTGTTGAACGCTACAAAGCCCGTCTCGTTGCTAAATGCTATAGTCAAATTGAAGGGCTTGATTATCGGGAAACATTTGCTCCAGTTGCCAAGCTCACCACCGTCCGTGTCCTCCTCAGTATTGCCTCCATCCGTGGTTGGCATCTTCACCAACTTGATGTAAACAACGCATTTTTGCATGGTGACTTATACGAGGAGGTTTATATGTCCCTATCTCCTGGGTTAGGACGAAAGAGGGAGACACGAGTATGCAAATTACACAAATCCATTTATGGTTTAAAACAGGCCTCAAGACAGTGGTTTATCAAGCTGTCTAGTGCTCTCAAGACTGCTGGTTTTCATCAATCATGGTCAGATTACTCATTGTTCGTCCGAAATCGTCAAGGCAGTTTCATGGCATTACTTGTGTATGTTGATGACGTTATACTTGCAGGTAACAATTTGAGAGAAATTGAAGAGACTAAACTCTTCATTTCCCAACATTTTAAGCTAAAGGATTTGGGAAAAATCAAATATTTTTTTGGGTTAGAAGTTGCAAGATCTAAACCAGGGATTGCCTTGTGCCAACGCAAATATGCGTTGGAGATACTAGAAGATGCTGGGTTCCTTGGTGCGAAGCCCTCACGATTGCCGATGGAACCAAACTTGTCCTTTACACAAACTGAAGGGACACTCCTACATGATCCTTCTTCATATAGGAGACTCGTAGGGAGGCTAATTTACTTAACCATCACGAGGCCTGACCTGACTTACGTGGTTAATATGTTAAGCCAATTCATGGACAAGCCGCGACAACCACACCTTGATGCAGTGCATAAGGTTCTCAGATACATCAAACAATCTCCTGGCCAGGGAATTCTTTTGCCTTCTACAGGTTCACTACAGTTACAAGCTTTTTGTGATGCTGATTGGGCTCGGTGTAAAGACACTAGAAGGTCAATAACCGGTTATTGTATCTTCCTTGGGCAAGCACCGATATCTTGGAAAACGAAGAAGCAAAGCACAATATCTCGTTCTAGTGCAGAGGCAGAATATCGTTCTATGGCTATCACCTGTTGTGAAGTTATATGGCTAAGAAACCTTTTGAAGGACTTACGAGTGAATCATGCACAACCAGTCACATTGTTTTGTGATAATCAAGCTGCCATGCACATTGCTTCGAACCCAGTGTTTCATGAACGAACGAAGCATATAGAGATCGACTGTCACTTAGTACGTGAGAAGATTCAGATGGGAATGGTGCAAACAGCTTACATACGAACCTCGAATCAACCTGCAGATTTGTTCACCAAACCACTAAGCTCGGCGCAATTTGAGGTCTTACTTAGCAAGTTGGGTGTCATTGACATCCACACTCCAACTTGAGGGGGAGTGTTAAAATGCATGAAATAAACATGTTGGAACAATGGTATTGGATGACTAGTGAAGTTAGGCTAGTCAACTTTCTTTGTGTAAGTTAGGCAAGTGTTAGGCAAGTTAGGCAAGTTAGGCTTATGTCCTCTTTCTTTCCCTATATATAAGTTTCATCTTGTAATTGTTAGAATCAATCAATACACATTGAAAATCAATATTAATCGTATTTTTATATGTGAAGTATCGCTTGAGTACTTAATACTTGAACTAAATCTCTCCAATATAGTACAATAGAC